GTACATGTTAATGCATACATATATTTGTCAATATGTTACGAAAATTATAGGTATAATTGGCAGGATGTCAAGATTTCTGATTTCTAAGGGAGTTAAACTCACTTCCCAGCTTATTGTTAATGGATTTGTAATTGTACTTTTAAAACTAAATGGATCTTACCATTATAATCACTTGCCTTATTTTATCAAGTATATTTCCCTATTTATATAAAAGATTAAATAGTATATTTAGTTATGAACTTTAAGATCGATCTTATTACAAAACGAAAAGATCCAGAAGCATTGTGAATTACGTTTTCTCTCCCACCGAGTTCTCAGTAAGATAGCAATGACGAAAAAGTCCTGCAAGACAAGGAATAATGAAAAATAAATGTTATCATTATACATTAATTTCTTAAACAGGACTGCTGAAGGCAGTATTTTCGATGACCATGTTTATCTGAGCTCCTAAATTCATATTGGTCCGTATTATAAAATTGGTCCGTGATATAAAATATGTTCCATGAACTTCGAAATTCTTGTTCTTCCAATACATAGGCCACACACAAGTAGTCCCTTGACTGCTGAAGGCAGTATTTTCGATGACCATGTTTATCTGAGCTCCTAAATTCATATTGGTCCGTATTATAAAATATGTTCCATGAACTTCGAAATTCTTGTTCTTCCAATACATAGGTCACACACAAGTAGTCCCATAGAAACAAAGTTATATTCAATTTATATGGATATTTTCAAACTCATTTTTGGCATTATTGAGAATTCAACCAATCATATAGCTTTGTATTACATAAGAAGGAAAATATATCAGTACTAGGGTAAAGAAGAGACTTAATGTAGGATTTGGTTTCTGGTTCAGCTGTCGTGAACGATAGTAGAAAATTGATTGGTCACTGAAGCAGATTCCAATGCTGCAAATATCAGAAAAGAAATCTTTAAGTTATACCAGAATATTTGTCTGCAAATTCTTATGTCATGATCTATACATAGTGCTTATCCTTCAAAGTTACAAATATTCTTTACTAAAAGTTTTTGAGTATTCTACTTGTAGCACATAAATGTTTTATTTGCTTTACGTATCTAGATACAGTATTAGACTAGTAGCAAATAAAAAATATAATAATGTTGTTTTAAGTATATAAAAGTTTAAATATATCTTTAGCTGAATGTAACTATTATTACTAGCTCTGCTAGCTATCAATGTGTACATTTCTATCGTCAACCCGAAATTCAACAAGAACTAAACATATACAAGGACCACTGAGCTCTACAAATATTCCTTATAATTTATATTAGGACAAATTAAGATTCCATTATTGGTGCTGAAATTACGATTAGTATTGGTACATAATTATTAACAACTCTTATGAATAATCTATACTACCCAAGGTTATAGTTATATGATACTTTGTAAAGAGTTTACCGATTTGTATATACTGACACAGCAGTGTGGCGCCACCAGCGACATATTTAGAACTATGCATTTGGTTCATAGTGATCTCTCAACCAAGCAAGGGTTTATGACACCAAGAGTAGTGGCCTTATCGCAGAAGATTATGTCACGGCTCTTTACTTGGAAGAAAATGCGAAATAAGATATTTTTAAACAATGTAGAGTCTACAAACAAATCATTTGCTCGAAAGAAGTCGAGAATCTCCTCTAGGGAACGGAAAACCTCGCATATCAGTGCATTTAAGATAGCAACGGGATTCAAAACTCCACTCTAAACCAATTCAGAGCAAATTAAAGAAAACCTTCTACCATAAAATGCTATTGCAATAAAATTGGGTATTTCTTTCGATACCTTTATCAATATGATAAACAGATGTTTAAACTTGACGAAGGCTCACACTCAAAAAACCCCCCAATCTTTCAGTCACATCTTCAAAAAGAAAAATCACACACACACTTTTTTTTTCTCTCCGTATGTGTGCCCTGAACTGTAGTAACCCCATTCGACCAATGTCTTTCGTGTTGGTAAGCTGCAAATCTTGTGCAATTCGCAAGATCTCTGATTGATGTCGTTAATGGTATATACCATGTAGAATGCGGGAAGAGTAAAATATAGTTCAGAGGTCTCATTGGTCAACTGAAAGACTGGAGAAAATAGGATGGAAATATAAGTCCAACGAACATAAATGTATGTGTAAAGGGCGTATACCCTTTCATGTTATTACTAGAAGAACCTTGGAGAGGTTAGAGGAGGGAGGATATTCTGCAGAAAGGCTGGTGTCAGAATTCTGAAAGATATAACCGTAATAATAATAGTATTACATAAACTTATTTATATTGGGTATCTGGTGTTTAAATACAAATATATATATAGGATTATTTATTATTATTATTAATTATTGTGAAAAGTGATTGCTACGGCCGGTTACTTCCCTGTTGTTAGTGTTTCGAAATAAGGGACGACACCATGTTTCCTAAACTGCACATTGAGAAACGTTATGCAACGGGATTTAGTGCTTGAAAGGATATGATGCTGTACTTTGGCAGGTGATAAACACCGCTAGGGTGTAAATTAAAAATATACTAAAAGTACATAATTATTATAATTAACACGCTAGCATGTTATTCTCCTAGAAGCACGTTAATGATAAATTGTTTACAGACCTCCATGTTATTAATATGATTATGAAAGTGTATTTATAAGTAAAACAGAAATATAATTCATACGTTAAATAGGCACTCCTGTATTTTCGGTTTTCTTCCATTTATATATGTAAAAAAAATCTGAGATATGATATATAAGGAATATTCACGTGAGTTTGTTTGTAATTAAGCACAAAGCCACACAATGGGCTATCTGTGCTCT